GTTATAGTTACAAAGCTCAAACTAAATGTATAGGAAGGAAAAGTTGAAAAATCTTAGAAAAGTTTAATGTTCAGATAGCTACCCTTTCCTTTTAATCTGTTTACAATATAACAAACATTTTAACAGATCACTGACGTTACTTAAAGTTAGCAAAATTGTCTGCCAGATGCTGGCCACTGATTAATTTGTTTTAAGTTCAGCCAAAAGGGGAAAAAAAAGTGCAATGGGTGGAGCAGCAAAAATATGCACAATCAACAAGTGAGCAAAGATTTCCTGTCATCTTGGGAATAAAATTGATTGGTACAGCCATTTCCTGTATATAATCTTAAACCAGTCACAACAACTGCAACTCAGAGTTGGAGATAAAGATGATGGTACAGACTGGTGCTTTTCTTTGCAGCATGCCAACTTCCCATTTTTGATAGTTGAATTAATTTTAAAATAATATTGAAAAAAGAGACAGGGAGGGCAAGAAAACGAAGGGGCACCCTGGGCACAGCCAACAGGAACGCTGGGTCTAAGAGTTCCATGCTGGGTGTTACATAAGTGGGCAATTCCTTTAAAATTCTTTTCATTACATGCCTGCTTTTAATGCTACTTTCTGTTAAGATGGAACTATTTGCAAAAACTGCCATACATGACAATAACGAGTAATAACAGGTTGGAGAGCTAGAAAACTCTTGATGGGACTGTATTACTGATCATCCTTTCTAACAGCAATATAGGTTACAACTATAATAAAGGATCCTACGTGTGCAGTCATGTATGAGTGTTGTGGTCCTCCACGTCAAATCTTGGGCAATCTGAATCCTTCCCGCTTGTTTGAAAAGCCCTACATCTGCACGCTTGTATGGGTGCAGGGACACTCCCCGTGGGCATCAAATATTTCATTGGCTTGGGGTAAGGAGGGTAGGTGGCAGGATCAACACCATTACATCTTCTCTGCATGTCTGGATTTAATGAAACGCTTGCAGTGGCTGTCTTTGCAAGATATGTTAACCCAAGCAGTTTGGTTCATGAGCATATGCTACCCATTCCAGTGCAAATGACTCTAAGCACAGTTGCAAGCTTTCTGGGTGGTGTGAACTCCCTGCATCCATAAGTTTGGATTTATGTGAAGTGTAATTTAACATTGCAACTATGAATAAATTAACATGATGACCATTCTAGGTACAGACAATGATAAACCTAAACTTGGGTTAAAGAATTATGTACAATGGCTGGGGAAAGGAGGAGCTACCAAACCAATCACTATGAATACTTTGAAATACCTTTCTCAAAAAAATCCTTTTTTGGGACCATCATCACCCTGTGCTTGAAACAGTTGTTATTGGCATTTCCCTGAAAGCAATAGCTAAGAGTTATATTAAGCCCAAGAAAGCATATTCATCTCAACACAATAGAGTAAATTTATCCTCCAAATCCATGCAAAGCTGTGTATTTCAGCCAGGAAATTCCAAAACCTTTCCTGTACATGTATTAGGGTCTCACGCTTATGCTATCATCCGCAAACACTGGCTCAGTTTCATTATTTAGTTTGCAAAGAGCAACACAATGCTTAATGTCAAGCAGTTGCTTTTAACAGAATACTGGATGAAAAAAAGCAGGAAATGTTTAATAATTATTGTATTATATATAGCACAAGTGGTGATACCTATGCCAGCAATCCTGCGGCACTTGGTTAAAAAAAAAAAAAAATTTGGAAAGACAGTTTCAGTATCTAAAGGTAGTAGGTATCAAGAGTCAATACCCTGCTTTTTCTTATAGAAATATTTTTTAAAAATTATTTGCCATAGCTGAATGATGACCTTTTCAATCCTTATAGGAGCTTGCTACAAATAATTTATGAGGGCAGTCCGGGGTATTAATTTATACTCACACAGCCTTGAAATATATACGTTTCCAGGCTAAATACTCTATTGAGTTAGAAAAAGCTAATATGATTGATACAAAGGCTATATATTGTCACCTCATAAAATGGCAAACACATGGTAAAGGATTAAATTTAATCAGGCAAGCAGCTGGAATGAGCCTGTCTGTCCCTAAAGGGCTAAAGGCTGTTAAGCTGTCTGCAGTCAATTACATTTCCCTGGATTTTCTCCTTTTAAGCAGCAAAAAGCAGCACATTTTCCAGGCCCAGCAAACTCCTTCTTTCTGTAGATTCTGTGATGTTAGACTAAATAGGTCTTCATATTCTAAAGGTTGATGCCTTTACCGGAGAGTTTGTGAGAGTGAATTCTCAGATTGAATCAGAAGATTGTCACCAGTGTGTGGTAAATGTTCCTCAGGTAGAAAGGTTCTGGTCAGAATTCTTGCACTGTCATTTTAATCTTTTGTTGATAAATTTAAATAATCAGAGCTCAGATAGACTTGTTCCCTTGATTGGTTGTTTTCAGGTCAGTTTGCTGCTGAAAAGTCCTGACCAGGATACACAGTCGGATCCAAAACAATTGTAGAGAGTTAAAATAAGATAAGCAGTATTGTTTAATTGTTATACTGCAGAATGAAATACTGTATAGGTAAATGCTTGTTACCCTTCCACTCACAGTAGCTGCATGATCCTTTCGTCTTACGGGGGAGGGGGGGTTGCCTGAAGTCATCCTAATGGTTTTAATTTGCCCAACTGTTTTCTTCATAGAAAACTCTTATCTAGTATCCAACACTGCTGGGATCCTAATCACAGAAACTGATTCATAGCTCTTGCTCTCCAATTTGCCTTTTGCTGGGTTTCAATGGCATGTTACTATGAAGTCTAGATAGCAAGCAACTTAAAAATGAGAGCTAATGGAGATGTTTGGCTGATAATTCCTCAGTGGGAACTAATAACTGGACACATTATCCTTAACAGATAATTTCCCTCTCTATGTAGGAGCAGATCTGATGCTAAGCTGGTCATGTGTTATATTTAATTAGCACCATTTGTTATTTTAACATCTCTCAGACAATCGTTTTCTTTTGAAAGATTTCCTGTCCAAATCCAGCTAAAAATTAAGGAGAACAGGGATCTTGAAGATGCCCATCAACAATATCTAAACAGCAGAATGAGTGAGAAGCACACCTAGTCTTCCCACTATTAATTTTAAATTTAGAGATATAAACTACTATATGTACCTCCTCTTTTGTGTTTTTATTTTTAGTGCTGCATTTATTTCCTCTTCTTTCTGATGTGTTAAGAGGCTACATGTCTGAAGCCAGTGTTTTGTTGGAGCATATGTTTAGGAAAAGAAAACCATGAGCAATGTTTGAATCTGTAAGCAGAAAGAGGTGAAGAAGAGAAGAGGCTTAGGAGACTGGAAGCTCTTCATATACTGGATGTTTTCCAACATGGGAATTTGTGGATATCTTCTGCCTCTTGGAGGACTGCATGTAGGTACACATACCACAGCTTTTAAAGACACTGAGTCTTTTTGTGTATGCGTAGACCCAGAAGAAAACCATTTGATTTCAGGAGTTACTGGCAGACGCAATGGACTCAGTTGTACACTTCAAGCCACCTTTTTTGCCTTTGAATCTGGATCACTGCAGACTCCCAGCAGATATAATATGTGAGAAACCTAGCCATATTTTCCATCTTTCATTCTTGTCCAAAGAGAATCCCTTTTGGAAAGTGGAGGAGACTTAACTATTGTCTTCATAATGACACAGTGAATTTCTCTTATTGTAAAAATATGGTGGAAAGTGGCCTTCCTAATTGCTCTTTCCCATAACTTGGTTCATTATAATACTATGATAATACTTTTACATAAGGCTGTAATGTTGAAAGATAAATCAATAGAATACTGAGCTATTCAGGGAACATTTGTAGACCACCCTTCTCCAATCTGGTGCTCCCAAATGTGTTGGGATGTTAGTTGGGAATTTCTGTCTCTGAGAACTTAAAGGTTGACCGCAATTTCATTCTTATACAGTACATCACAAACGGTAGTGGAAAGTGTGCTTACAATACTTTCTCTCCTCTAGATGTCACTGTTCATCAAGCAATAACATCCAGTGTGAGTTGTAGGGAGCAAGATATTTCTGGTACAAGCTAATTCAAGGAACCATTATCTTAGCATCAGTTTATCTCTGATATGGGTTAATAACATTGTCTTATTTTGCATTGCTACAGCATAAATCTTAAGGTGATGTCTTTGAATTCTCCAAACTAAGCATTATTGAATAATAGGCCTTACAACTATCAATACTCACTGATCCAGATATGAATGTTTTCTGTTCTTAACGTTACATGTACAGTTCAGATCAAGGCCTTTTAGGGGAATAATGGAAACAATTCCCATAACACACAAACCTTGCATGGAGAGGGTTCCATGAATAATTTACTTGGAATAAGTAGTATAAATATTTTTTATTCAAGGCAATAAAACAGATCTTTTTGCCTGGTTCAGTAGCTTCCCCCCACTACCACATGTGAAACCATTCAGAATCCATATGATATGTTCATGTTATCTCTCAACCATCATCTAAGAAATGCTCAGCAAATCAGTATCTATACACATGCAACTTTCTTTGGCTTATGTTACCTCGGAAGCATATGGGGTTTACACATTCACCAAATCAGCTGCCCTTTTGGGTATGACCACCTACAAAACCTCTGCTTACCAGAAGTAAACTGATGTGGTTGCTCCCACTAGCTCTCTGAGATTGTCCTTACCATCTCTAACTTGCCTTGGTCTTCTTCTCTGCATTGAAGGGCACACTTGGAAATAAAGAGCCATGATGTAGCCAGCTACCATTTTTATTTTCTAAGGCTACCTACAGAAACTGGAGACATTCTTGGAAACAAAGATGATGCTTAAGGTTGGCACTTTGATTTGCAGCATGTCAAATCCACATTTATTTATTTTTACTGAAAGTAATCCTAAAAAATAATTAAAGTTACATGGGCAGAGAGGTTTATCAGGAAAAAGGATGGTATCTGTAGGCTCATAGGTATGTTAAGTTGCTTTCCCTGCCTTACAGAAAGAGAATAATAAACTCTATCTATAGAACTTCCATCCTACCTTTCTTGTAGCCCCACTGGTTTCATTTTGAAAGGTGATGGACTAGCAGAAAGTGAGGGCTTGATCTCAGTAGTACATTGCCCATGGGGATCTACTACGACATTTATGACTTTACGGGTCTGTTCAGGTTGGACCATTCTGTTTGCTGTCTTGTATTCAGATGGAGTTCTTTGCAGAGGGATGGAAGAAAGGTGTATTTCTTGTTTTTTGTTCTTCTCCTGTCTCACAGAAAATTGTATTTTCTCTTTCACTCGGTATAGAACCTGTTCATAACAGAGAAAATAGCTGTTTTTACCTTAAATTATGAAAAAAGCAGAATTGGATTTTTAATGAATGGACATAAAATTAGATACTAATACGATGAATAACCAATAGGAATAGGAAGCATCAGCAGTAATAAAAAGACATTTTTCTAGAGATTATTAAAACTTTCATTAGATAGTTTGATTTGCATTATCTGAAACTTGGGTTTCTAGTGTAATATTTCACAATAAGATTGATTATTTGGGTTTCTTTAGTCGGGGGACAACAAAACTGTACTGGGAAATAATTGAACAAGCAGCTATTGCAAAGAAACTGATGTTAGGCTATATTGTATCAAATCCTTTCTTAAAGTATGATATTGGCAGAGGAAATAATAAATGTTGAAGTGAAATTAAAAGAAAACAGAGCTCTGGCTATAAAGGAAATCAATAGGTAGAAGCCCTTGCCTATCATAAAAAGAACTGGCCAATAAGAACAATTCAATAATGCCAAGTGAACACAGTTAATGTGCTCCTTTAAAGAAAAGGCTGAAGGAGAAAAAAACTAATTAGCCAGGGAAGTATAATAATTAAGTAATTAGGCATGGATGGCAAAGACCCAGGTTCAAGTCCCCACAACTGATCAGAGTTTGACTTTGGCTGAGAGAAAGTGACGGGCCAAACCTCACTCACTCTTTGGGTTGCCCTTTATAACCAGAGCAATTGTTCAGTTTTGTTTACTTTTAATTGTCTGAATTGTCAAATTATGTTCATAACAATAAAGTTGAACAAGAACAATATGGCAACCAGTAGTAATAATCTATACCCCAACCACAGGGGACCAAAAATGATTATATAAGGGTAAGCCAAAATGTCACAACTAGGAGAGAGTGAACAGAAAGAAACTGCTACTTCAAATGAGAAAAAGTGTCATTCACAGGTGGGCCCTGCAGTAGTGTTTCACAATTAAAAAAAGAGATCCACCGCACTGAAGCCTAGAAAAACAGACGGAAATATAAATAAAAATCCTGGAATACTATGGCTGGCAAAAAACAAAACAAAAAACCATGTGGAATCTAATAAAAATTGTGTAAATGAACATCTTTCAGGGAAATAACTATTGGCTTGGTATATTAGGGTTTATTGGTCAGAGCATAGCTGTTAGAAACTGTTTTATTATTCTGCATACAATCAACAGGAAATTGCACCAGCCGTAATACATCCTTATTACACACATATTTACAAAGACTTTCAATCATTCTTTTCCCTGAAAACGTCCATAGATGCCCCAGGAAGGACAGCATAGGGGAGGGGGCAAGGGATGAAAAGGGCACAATGACATCCTGATGCAAAGCCCGCGACTTATGCCCTTGTGACTGACACAGGGAAGGAAGCGCAAAAGAGCAAGGTTTGTGTTGTGACCGCATCATGCACACCTTGTCTTTTAGCAGCACATATGTAAACAAACATTGTAACCCTTGGTTTTTAAAAAAAATCTAACCAGCTAAGGAGAGAATAAGCACCTAAGGGCATGCTTAGCTAAATGTATAACTGTGGGACCATGGATTCTGCGTAAGGTTTTTTCCCCTTCCAATCCAGCTGCTGTGGCTTCACCAAAAATCAATTTGTTGTTCAATAGGAGAATGGAAAAGCTGGATTCAGTCCATGCTTCACTCTGCCTCCCCTGCAATCACTAATTTTTGAAAAAGGCACCATGTATTCACAATGCCAATTCTAAGCATGTGTTTGGCTGAGGGCCAATAAATGAATTCATTCTTTTAAAAAAATATGGGAAGGACCCCCTTCTAAGTATTCTGAACAAAAGCATGACTTGGTCTAGATGCATGATTAAGATTCACTTTATGCCTCGTTTTGCATTAATTTTGTTTGTGGCTAAAAGACTAGACTGTTTTTAGCAAATCATTTCAGCACTAGTAAAGCTTGTTCTGCTTTTCAGAAAGGCCAAAACAGTGACAATGGAAGCAAACAGACTTACCATCAGACATGTCACAATAACAACAAAGATGCTGAGGAAGATTATGACAGCATAAAATCCTTCTTTACTCCAGAGTTTATCTGACTCGTGCTTGCCTTGCAAAACATTTTTCTTTGACTTATAGAAACATAAAAGGAAAAAAAAAGTAATTATATGGTTCTGGACATGCATTTAAAAATCACTGTCAGCCTGATATAAAGTTTTCTCTTTCTTCAATAATATGAAGTGCTTGAATGATTCAGTACCAATTCATGCTTCTCACAAATTTAATACAATCGTTTTAACATGGTTATCAATGGATTGTATTTCATGATTTCTGGAAAAACCCTTCAATCTCATACCCAGCTGTGTCAGTTCATGGGACATGATATAATTATTTCCTGAAAACTATCTGGTTTGGCAGCTGAAAAAGTAGCAATAGTTGCTTACACTTTCAGTCACTTCGTTAACTTTTCCTCTGATAAGGAAGACCATTGATGCCTTTGAACTTTGGTGTTGGAAAAGACTCCTGAGAATACTGTGGACAGCCAAGAAAACAAACAAATGGATCATCAAACAAATCAACCCAGAGTTCTCACTTGAGGCACAAATGACCAGGCTCAAATTATCCAGTTTGGACACATTATGTGAAAACCCAGCTGTCCGGAAAAGGCTCTAATGCTGGGAAAGGTGGAAGGAAAAAGAAGAGAATGACCAGCAGCAAGGTGGATGGACTCAGTTAAGTGGCAATGAGTGCACCATTTGAAGATCTATGTGGTCATGAGGAGTTGAAAACAACTTGATGGCAATTAGTCAAAGTACTCTAATACACATCTTGGTCATTAAGAGTCTTCTTCACTTGGATAATGAATGAGTAGGTAGCACTATAGGTCAGTGTCCAAACCATGCCCTTTATGACCTGAAAATCATGGTGATGTGTTCACCGATGTACGTGTGGTGACCGAGCTTCTTGTGCTTGGAAATGTTAATTTTTTAGGTTTCATTATCATGTGGAATCCTGCCTGTGCACCTATGCTTATAGGTACAGACATATATCAGATGCATATTTTAATGTATGGAAGGTGAAGGATGGAGCCTGTAACTAATCGCCAGTCAGATCTTGTTTGTACTTACAAACAATCAAAGGAAAGAGCTCCATTATCTAGAAATGTATGTAAAGCTTCAGGAAAATGTCAATTGTGTCTATTTTAATGAACATTAATCACTAAAATACATAAAATTGAGTGAAAGTAAATGCTCATTTGATATATAACTTTATTAAGATTTTAATAAAGAAAGATAAAAATTAACAGAAACTAATATTTAGAATAAAGAAAAGAAAGAAGAAAAAGAAAGAAAAGAAAAAGCCAAAAGTACAAAAAAAAGAAAATATAAAGATGTAGCTTTCAATTTTCTTTACAGCAATTGTAAGTATAAATATAAATTTACCTCTTACTCCATGGTTATAGCATAACTTTCATTTTTTCTATATTTTTTTCTAATCATCAAAACCATATATAATAAGTTCATTTTTTCTTGTTTCACGCAACCAGTCTATAAGGGGTTTCCAGTCAGCAATAAACTTATCAAAGCTGTCAGTTTGGTCATCATAGGAAGTAAACTGAGTAAAAGTAAATGCTTGTTCTAACTGAATTGCAATATTTAAACATTTAGTTTGCAGGTACCTTTGGATAGCCTAAATTATATGTATTTCATTCTTATTTATAAAACAACCAAAAATTGAAAAACACTACTTGCATACCTAACAAGATTTTCTCTCTCGTTTTTTTTTTCTGTATTATTGCAATAAGAGCTGGAGTTGCTTTAATGATATATAAGGCTTCCTATACAGCCTAGAGACTTTGATTGTAACAACCTGAAAACTAGTGGAAAGCCAACGTTCAAATGAATGAGTTTAGCTTGAGAGATCACTCCAGGTCAAGACATTGGCTCTTAATGGCTGTGAATATATAAAACAAGCAGTGTCTCTTCCCCCACTTTTTTCCCTTCTCCTCTGTGTTACACTTTAGATGAACATCTATAAAATGCAAAAAAAAGAAAAAAAGGTGGGGGGCAGAAAAAAAGTACAGGTAATCCTTGTTTAGTGACCACAATTGGGACCAGCAACTTGGTCATTAAGCAAAGCGGTCACTAAGTGAAACTATGACTGTGCTCATGATCTTATTTCAGCTTTCCTTTGCTTTACAAACCTGTGAAGTTACTTTTTATCACTGTGGTGACTTCAAATGGTCACTAAACAAGGCAGTTGCTAAATGAGAACTATCTGTAAGAGCATTCTGAAAAGCCTGGCTTATATATAGCTGATGGTCTATGTCCCTCCCAGAACCTACTGGGGAAGGAGGAATCTATTTTTAATGGTATTAATGCTGAGAAATCACATCAATTGTCAACCTATTTTTTATCTGTATATACTACTAAAACTCTCATGTTTGTAACCTTCAACTTGGTGAAATGGTGCATCATAGGGCAACAATTTTTGAACCAAAGTACCTCAAATAAGCTAAGTTACAGAATGCATCCAAAATCCAGGAGCCATGACTCCCATGGGATTGAAATTTGGGAAATTTGTGGCTGCTTCAGCACTGCTGTGCTGCCATGGTCAGCCCAGGCCATATGATTGTCACCTTTCCCACCTTTCTCTGTCCCCTGCACCCAATCAACTGACAGCAAGGTCTGATAGGTGAGTGCCAATTGGCTGCTTTGGAAACAAGGCTGAAATTTATAAATCTCTTAATGCTGGTGGGCATTGAGGGAAGGACAAGGGAGCAATTCAGATGTCTGCTGGTGAGGTAGGGCTGGCTGGGGGGTGCCAGTGGTTGACGGGTGAGTCTTCTTCCTCCCTCAAGGGAGAGGACCCTTGGGGACATGCTGGAATGGGGAATGGGGGTTCAGGTTTCCTCACAGTCTGTGGCTCCCTTTGTTCTACCTCCCCCCAGCAAGGTGGCAGGCAGTTCCACTGGTCAACCAAGGAGGAAGAGGAGGCGGCTTCACTGGGGTCTCCTGAGGGTTGTGAGGGAAGGGGAAACAGCATAAGGCTATATTATATGTGGAAAGGAAGGAAGGAAGGAAGGAAGGAAGGAAGGAAGGAAGGAAGGAAGGAAGGAAGGAAGGAAGGAAGGAAGATGGAGGAAGGCATGAAAGAAGGGAGGAAGGAAGATTTCTGACACTCCCTGCCAGCTTCATGCAAGCAAAGTCGATGGGGAAGCTGGCAGCAAGTTGTAAGTCATACTCCCACTGCTTTTTTGCCCTTGATCATTCTGTTTCTCTGTTTAGGAAAGGAAATATCTCTGAAATGATGACCCAACAGGTCACAGGTTGTCTATGTGCAAATAAAAGTGCTATGAATCCAAGAAGACCAAGTCTCCTGGCAATGATTACATGACTAGAGTTCTAACTAGACGGATAACTTAATAGTATAACATTCAATTATACTATTATAATGAATCCTTCATTTAACAGACTTCAGATACAATGGACCAATTTTGCATCCAGACATTCCCCCCTCAAAAAACCCATAACAAAACACCCACCCAGAAACATCCATTATGCAAATGATGCAAATCACCATGAATAATGTAATTACAGTTTAACAAGACATTTGAGATTGTCCTTCTTTCCCAATGATCCATGAAACAAAGATTTCACTGTATTTGCAATTTATTAAAATCAGCAACTCTTAACCTACCTGTCACTTAAAACAGGACAGATTTGGTTCAGCTGAAATAACCAACCAAACTCCTTTAAAAAAAAAATACCATTGGAATCTAACTAAATTTGTATTAGGTTTTCATACTGCAATCATATATCTACTAATCTGGAAATAAAGCCTGTTGAGTTCAGGGAAACTTGCTGCTGGGATTGTAAATTTTTATTCCCAAGACACTTTAAACACTGCATTTCTTTTGGCAGTAATATCATATTAAAATAGAACTACCATTAGACATCATACAATAGTATTTCAGGTGTAGGTGATAAGGGGCAAAGAGCAGTAACAAGTGGCCTTATGTCACCACAGCCAAAGGAGCATAATCCTTAGAAGTTTAGGCTGAGGACAACCAAGTCCAAGTCTCCACTGACATGAAGATGACATGACTTTGGGCCAGCCACTTTCTCTCAGTTTAACTTCACTTTAGGTTACTTATGAGGCTAAAATAAAGGAAAATCCCATGTATGCTTTCTTGAACTTTTTGAGGAAAGGCACTATATTAATCAGTCCTCAGAATACTGCCCTGATACCAAATAACTCTCAGCTGGTTGATTTCTAACCATGGAATGGAAATGAGGCTGCTATATACTGTGGATTGGTCCTATTTCAGGTGCATCAAAACTCTAACGCCCAGTTTTTAGTTATCACCTAGCTGCACCTTGGTTCCCTATGCCCTCAGGTGCATTAGACACATACTGAATTTATCATTTGTAGTCTAGAAAATACTAGAAAGGTATTTATTTATTGTGTACCATCTGAGTTTGCAAAATAATAACAGGTCTTCAAAGGAGTACCTATGAGTAACATACTAGCACTTTATAGTAATGATAGCTTACCTCTGGGGATATCTCTGTAATTCCAAACTGGGTTAAACCCTGGCGTAGGACGTTGATATTAAGAGATCTTAGCACTTCTTCAGATGGGATAGTATCAGAAACTCCTTTGCTACTGACTGGAGATATGAAGAGCTCAACACAGTTCCTCTTGCCCTAGCAATAATAGAGGACATAAAGTAAGAGAAGAATAGCTCTAAAAAACTTGGTTTGTTATGACAAACAAATGAGCTAACTGTATGAGCTACTGTTCTTGCAATAATAGAAATGATGATTTTCCATTTTCTTTTCCAATCCAAATTAGAAATCCTTGGGATTAAATAGCTATCTAGAAGTTCAAATTGAATCTAAGTTGATACTTCAAATATCCCAAACTGCATTTCAAATATATGGATTTCCTTCCTGCTTATGCTGTATTTAGAAGTTTGCCAATTAGTGATAATATCACTGCTGCAGAAAAGCCTTTGGGAAGGGATAGAGCATGGCTGGCAACCTGTAATCCTCAGCCTAATTGCAATACCCCTTAATAGGCAAGCAAGAGTGATCTGGCTCCTTCTTGGCAGACAGTAGAGTGAGGAGAGGGGGTGAGGAAGAGAGAGGGATATCAGAGAGACAGAAAGAAAAGGGTTGCTAGAAAATTTTAAAAAGTGATATGCCAGAACAGAAAATGAATAATTCATCTGTTTTTGACATTATTCCCAGCTGTTTTTACTTCAGGTGTTACTTCCCAGCAGATTTCTGCTACAGGAATGTGCCCTTATAAAGAAAAAAAAAATTGTCCTGCTCTGGCCTAGTATTAGGCTCAATTCTTGGCCTCTTCAGGTTGGGAAGAAAACATGCCCATACAGCTACTGTCTATCACATTAGATCTTATACTAAAGTTGGTAGATCAGTCATCCAGCTTCATATAATGCTGGGTGGCTGCTTTTTCCACTCAGATTATTGGTAGTCAATAGTGGTCACAATAAAGCTCATCCTAGAAGGTTTGCTGCAATTCATAGCTTGCGTGAAACTTGTTCACCATAAGCAATGACGAGTACATACAAATAAAATGAAGATGGTTGGCATATATATGTGTAATGTGTATCTCTATCTCTGTTTCTCTATATAAATATGTCTATGTGTAATGTGTATCTCTATCTCTGTTTCTCTATATAAATATATCTATGTGTATCTATCTCTATCTCTATTTCTCTATCATGTATCTATCATTGTGGTGTACTGGTTAAGAAGCAGCACTAGGGCTGGGAGAACCAGTGGATTTGGGCTGATTTGGGCTGATACTACACAAGGATGGGGTATCCCAGAGAGCCTTCTTGCCCAATATTGTTAGTTTTGAAGCTGGCAGGTATATAGAATCTTTTCTTTATTCAGGTTGGTTGGTTTCATGTCCAGGAAGTGAAACTATGTAATAGTAAGCATGAAACCAAGCCACTTACAATGAGTCGGTTGATATGCACTTGCTGCGGCAAGAGTCCTAAAGCAGCAGCCACTCCCTGGCGGAAAATCCGAAGCAATGTGATATTCAGCTTGTTTACATCCATTTGCAGAGTCTGCAAAACAAACCCAAACAGAAAAGTCCTAATCTTGCAAGGCACACACAGTTCCCTGCTAATGAGTGACCTCCGTGAATTGTGCAAATGGTTTTTCCCAGGATGGCAATGTGTGAAGTCAATTTGCATTTCAAACAGAGAACAAGAGTTGGGGGAATGAGGTCAGGGGTGCAGGATTCCAGACTATTAATGGTTGTTAGTTTAAAGAACATTAACATTTCCTCTTTTCATAACCTTAAGTTCACCACGAGGTCAAAGAAATCTCCTTGGCTGCAATCCTGGAGCTTTTACATGAGAATTGCTAGACCACAAGGTATTGTGACAGAACTAAGTGAAACAGCATTACCCAGAAGAAACAAAGATTTACTTCTGATTATAATCATTCTTCATAGAAATAAAACAATGCAGTAGATAGATTGGATAGATTACATGCACTCAGCTACTTTAAAAAAAGCTAAGCAAAGTCAGACATGGTAAGTCCCTGCATAGGTAACCACCAGGAAATCTCAGCACTGTAGGCTAGACTGAGAAAAAAAAAAAAAAAAAAAAAAAAAGTTAATAGTAAACTACTATGTCATGTAGTCAACAGCAGGAAGGAAGACTTTACCTTTTATGTTATTGTTTCTGCAGATGAGGAAACATGATGTTTCAAAATTCTCCATCAAATTTGTGGGTGGACAAGTTGGGGGACAGTTCTTCCAGGGGAAGGAAACATCTCCAACAATTTCTTTCTTTGTGGGTATCCTTAGTGGGTACCTTTTGTGGGTTTCCTGAGAACTGGTAAAAAAAAAGCCCATGGGAGGATATCCCTCATGACTGAAGCATGGGAAGCCAGAGAAGTCACAGACCACTGGAAAGATGGCAGGATGAAAGGGCACTCACACACTCCTCTTAGATGCTTTGAAACTTAAGGGGGTGGGGATGCCAGTTTTTTCAGCTTGGCACTAATCATTTTCAGATGTCTGTTTCCTGCATTGCAGAAATTAAACAACTGCAGACCCCAACTTGTTCAGTGGTGTCACATGTGCCTGAACTGAAAACTGGCATTCCAACCTGGCAACCAAGTCTTGATGATAAATGAAACATTGCTGACTTCCCATACAATAATGTTGATTAATCCCATCAGTCAACATTAGGAGTTTAGGAGTTTTACCAGGGATTAGCCAGCAAGTGGGGAAGAGGTCCCTGTTTTTTTTTTAAAACCTGCTTAGGCTGTGTGGACAAAATGGGAGTGCCATCAAAGTTCACTGAGGCATTGCTCCTGACTTTTCCCCTATAGGGGTACAGTAGGCAGCTGAGGAATTACAACGTTTGAATATCCTTGGGATATATCAATTGAAAAGTAATTTCTAAATGTAAGTAGCATATTGATGTCTTGCTTATGCCTAGCTCCAATGAATTCATGTGGGGGGAGGTGTCAATAAAATTATTTTAGCATTTTATCAGGTCAGTGTATTCAAAGTTTGAGAATAATTAATTCTCAACAATTCTGTGGTCTAATTAATTTTGTACAAGCAACAAATGAAGAACATTTCACTATTTTCTTAAATGAAGGAGAGAGATTCATTTCAGTTCATATTTGACTTAATTGTATTTTTGAACCAATATATGAATCCAAACTTAGATTTCCTTAAGAGTATATTCTTTTTTCAAATTTTGCAATTCAGTTTACTAATTTTTTTAAACAGTAACTTAGAAAGTTTGCACAAAAATGTTTATGTTCATGAACATAATATATAAAAATGCATTAAATTAGGAAAATTGGTTTTCTAAACCTCGTTACATTAGGCATGACTATAAATAAAAATGCATACTTGGAGAAATCTACACACACACACACACACACACACATTACACACACACACTTTAGTTTTGTAAAATAATTGAAACGAGTATAGCTATGGGATAAATTAACTTACATATGTAAAAAAAAAATTAGAAAGTGAAATAGAAATGACTATGGATAGATTCACTATCCCTATTTTAGGCAGGCCTTCTGATTGATGCCATCCTAGAACTTTCAGTCAGGTGAAAACTTCTGGTTAGGCCAGTGACAAACCATTTGGGTCATGTGATTTGGCCTACTTTTAACACCACAGCGTATCTTCCTAATGAAGCCGATCTCTGTGTTGTTCTTGGACTGTTAGTATACATCACATTGAAATCTACATGACGGGAAAGCCTCTGTGAGCAGGATCTGTCCCACAAGCCTTTAAGATCAATCTCTTTACCAATCACTTATATCTTGGGCAGTAATCTTCCATGGAGCAATGGAAGAAGATTAATTTGTTAGAAATTCTTCAAACTCTGCTGGCACCTTTAATTCAACAAAGGAAGCGTTGTATCATCTGAAGCCAGGCAACACTAATTAATCATATTATGCCTTGTTGATCTGTACTGTTTATCATTTTTGGCACCTGCTCCTTAAGGAGAATTCAGTTTGAATACACTGTACATGCTGGCAGCCGTGACTTAGTAACCCTAAAGGAGAGGAAGATAACCACTCTAGGGAACACAATTTCCCAATGCAATTTATTAATCTAGTTACTGCAACTGTTAGCGACAGTTTCCAGGTTTCAAGACTATAGATATGATGAATTATACAGTGAGGTTTTGCCCAGAAATTTGGCTGTATATGTATTTAATAAAAATGCAAAGACTAAAACATAGTAATATCTAAACTCCAAACAGTTTCATTAATGGGGCGGAACAGTTAAACTCTTCAGAAACAGGGAGGAAACCTTTTAAACCATTAAATGGAAAGCAGTGCTTGGCGTAACAGGAATTTACTCGTGCATTTTATCTGAGGTATAGCATCTGTTTGAATATAATTTGAAGATAAAAGGCAGGAGGCTGCTTAAAAGTAAAATCTGAGAGATATTTCAAAGGCAGCTTGCAAAATTTCAACTCTGATATCAACCTTGCAAAATCTGATTTTGATCCAGTCCTCAAAAATGCTTGCAAATTTCTGCTCATGATCTGTATTAAGAAAACTGCATCATGGAATAGAACATTGAAGGCCAGCTATCCAAATGACAGCTCCAAGAACTGAAAGACTTTGTGAAGCATTGGTGTCCACAGCCTCTTAGGCCTTTTGACAGAATGATGAAAGCAGCTTAATAATTTCATGCCACGAACTCTGTCCCTTCTGGGCATGGTGTGAAATTGTAATACATGTAAAAAAAGGGATAAAGTTTGCATTGTGACACCATGACACTCCTTGCATCAATCTGACCCCCTTGACCTCGCCCATGAAGGCTTCAGTTGTAGAGCATGAACTTATCTCTTACCAACAGCATAAAATCTACTCTACTAGAGAAAAAAAAGTTGTACTGACTATCAAAAATAAATCCTGCATCCTCTGGGGAAGAAAACCCCTACTTTATTATCAGGCCAGCTCAAAGATCATTAAGTATATCAGGCTTTGACAATCTTCAGAACTTTGAATCAGATATGATGTGGCCAAGAAGATCAGTGTGAGGGGTAGGGATAGGGTGTTAAGATTGTTGTCACAATGGCTGCACACTGGCTTGAGATTTTCACTGAGATATCACTGCCAGCTCAGATCTCAACAGTGAACTTATGACACTGGGATTTGTTACTCTAATATATATCACTTACACTGAACTACATTTGCCACTGAAGTATATTGATCTAGTTTGTAGAGACCCTTTTGGAGCTATTTGCAATTATTATTATTATTGTTGTTGTTATTATTATTATTTAATCTACCACACTGCATTCATTTGATATCAACAATGAACTTGACTGTTTCCCTTAAATCCAGGTCATTCATTAAAAACAATTTTAAAAGTACCTGTCTCAAGAAAGATCTTCAGGGAAGTTGAATTTGAACAAGTATCTATTTTAAAAAAAGTTTGGTCCTTTCTATTCTTTGGATTCAATTTTTGGTGTGATATTTTAGAGAATCTAGACTTTTATAGAATCTGGAATTCTATACAGCGCCAGATTAAATACTTCTTGTAATTTTGGATTGGAACTACTTTTCAATCAGTAGATTTCTAAATGCTGAAATAGATTTCATTTAGTTTTCCAACATTTTCTTTGTGTACTATGTTCATTTAAAATTGCCTGAAATTACAGGAAAAAAACCCGTTTTATCAAGAAAGCATTTTTATTTCAACAAATTAAAAAAAATTAAGCCAACCATAATATTTAATTTATTTATATTTCGAATTGAGAGAGCGCTCATCTCACGAGGAAGTGACTCTTAGACTTAATCATTCTATTTATCTACAAAATGAGTTAATTAGCTGTTCTTTCCAGAAATGTCTAATTTTTTTCTAGACAGGAAAATACATACCGTATGTCATAAAAGGTCAGTGTATCTAGGTATAATTGACTCTTCCATTGAAAGCATGCTGCCCTAATGTTTTTCATTCCTATCATCTTTAGGCTGCTCTTCTCCTAGCAAATTTTATTATATAGGTAGTTCAATAAACCTGAAGGGATTACTGTGCATACATTAAGTTAGCTGCCTCCTCACGTTGCAACTATTGTATAAGCAGACACTTCCTTGACTTTCACTGCTGTGCATAGTTTAAAATCAGGATCTAATGCAAGATGTAATGTAATTCTGGTGGAATGACATAACTGGATATGAGGTGCTGTTTCTATTGCATGTACTATTATATTTTGTGTGGGTTGTGTTTTATATTATGTTGTGATACAGTAGGACCTCACATACTATCCTTTCCATCCTTCCCCCCAATATTATAATCTCATTAGTTATCTGAACCTATCCTTACATTTAATATTTTTCTGGAAAGGAAGAAGAGGTAGGAGGAAGGAAACAAGTGCTTAGTTACACAGCTCTTTACTGGCAAGTCAACCTATTTTTGGCCCTTCATGATATTGGATGTCCCCTTCTGGCCTATGTGGAAAGGAAGTTCTGTTGGCTGTGGATGAGTTGGGAATAACTTTTTTTCAGACTTTTTTTCCTTTAAAAAATGGAATATAATTTCCATAATAATTGATTA